TATGTTGAAACAGAGGAACAAACACTATGAAAATATTTTATCCATAAAGAAATTCACACTTTCAGTAACAGCTGTGAAATTAAATGCTTTTGAACACACATTCTTGCACAGATAAAGAACCTGCTGTTGAACATCCACACTGATAATTCCTTATCTACCAGCTGGTACCCAGTGGTCTATTGTTTCTTCTCTATGGACTCAAAAATCAGAGAGAAGGTCAGAAGTGAGTTTAAGGCCACCTCCCACAATAACATGTGCCCGTAGACTCTGCTTGGCCATCTCATTGACCCACATCCCAAGCCCTGAAATTGCTGATCAGGGTAGCAGAAGAGCCTGCCCGACTTGATCAGCTAGGAGGAGGTGTTAGAAACCAGACTCTAGTTGCCCTGAACAATAAACAACGTAACTGACCCGCAGAAGTAGAAGCGCAGAGTTAGGGCAGATTTTAGACTTGATCTGNGGGTGCTGATATGTCTAGGCTCTGTGCAAGGTACTGGGATACTAAGAAGACAATGATCCTACCCTCAGAGAGCTTACTGTTTTAATGAATACCGAAAATGACACAGGGTCAGCAGTATTTTTGCAAAAGTAAAGCAGTGGTGGGGTGAAGAATAGATTTTTCTTTTAAGTTAAAATCCAGGTGAAATTGTTAGTTCTGGACTGTTTGAAATTAAATATCCATTTTGGGAACCCTTCAGAAGTGTTGTTTCAAGACAACTGGTCCTTGGGTTAATTTTAGTTCAATTTCTCCTGACTCCATTTTCACCCAGGGACCCTGATCCAGACCTTAGCCAACATGATAGCTCTTCCTATATCAGGATGACATTGTCCTCTCTGTTATTCCAGGTTTTGATGAACAAGGAAGCTTGTATGTTCTTAAGGGTGATCGCACAATTGAGTTTGATGGCGAGTTTGCAGCGGATGTCTTGGTGGAGTTTCTCTTGGATGTAAGAATTTATGCACAGTGCCCTGCATGGAGCTGTCTGGGCTCAAATATAGGGTGAGATAAAACCCTGAAGTAGGAACAAAGAAGCTGGAGAACCTGACCTTGCCTAAGACAGGTTTCTTAGGCTTCACAAAAACTTTGGAGTGCTTACATCACAGTGCTCTCTACTTCAACTGGGAAGCTGACCCTTAAGTCACCATAGAAACTGATTATTAGTGACTAGAGGGTCACAAATCAGGACCATAGCAGTAATGTGCTACTTTTCTTACCAGTTATACACCAACATCCATTGAAATTTCCTTGACTTTGCTCTGTGCTGCTGAAGAGGTACTGGGGAGTGTGGGGAGAGAGGGAAACACCCAGTCACCTGAAGAGAGGAGGCACAGGACTAGCAATCAGCCAAGTCACCCCAAGTTACCCTCAGAGCAGCATAGAAGAGGCAGGGCTAAAGAACCCCCTAATATCACTCACTGTCAGCCGTGGAGGTATCACACTCTCAGATCCTTATGTTGAAACAGAGGAACAAACACTATGAAAATATTTTATCCATAAAGAAATTCACACTT